AATTTGCAGCAGTCCTGTTGCCTCAGCCTCTTGCGTGCTGGGATTATAGGCGTGGGCCATCATGCCCACCTGACTTAATTTCATAATCAATAACATTTTTTTTTTTTCTGGTACCAGGAATCGAACTCACGACCTTGCGCTTGCCAGGCAGGCGCTTTTGCCGCTGAGCTAAATCCCCAGCCCCTCAATAACATTTTATATGACCTGAACCCTTTTAAATCTATTGCGGTTTGGTTTTTGATGTCATTTGGTTGGTTGTCCTGTTCTGTCCGGTTCTGTTTTCAGTGCTGAGCATTGAACCCAGGGCTTTACACTGAGCTGCACCCCCACCGCCTGCCTTCAGTACCCGGGGTTGAAACAGAGCCTTCAAACTCTAAGTACATCCCCAGCCCATTTAAAAACAATTTTTTTTTTTTAAATTTTGAGACAGAGGGGGCCACGGATATAGCTCAGTGGCATAAGCACCTGCCTGACAAGCGCAAGGTCCTGAGTTCGAGTCCCAATTCCAAAAAAAAAATTTTTGAGGCAGAATTGCATTAAGTCACTAAATTGCTCAAGGTGGGCTTGAGTTTGTGATTCTTCTGCCTCAGTATCCCAGTGTCCTGGTATTACAGGCATTTAGCAATCATCCTTGGCAATTCCACTGTCCGGTATATACCCGAAAGAACTGAAAACTGGATCTAAACATATATGAGAACGTTATTTGCAACATTATAATCAATAATTGGTAGAGCCAGGTGCACACCTATAATCCTTCTACTAGGGAGGCTGAGGCAGGAGGATTGCCATGAGTTTGAGGCCAGCCTGAGCTACATAGTGAGTTTAAGAACAGCGTGAATGACAGAACAAGACCCTGTCTCAAAAAAAAAAAAATCAATAGGTAGAAGCAACCCAAGTATCATCAAACTCAGCTATGGTTGTTTTGTTTTGCTTTGTTTTGTGACAGGGTACATAGCAAGTTCAAGACTGAACTACATAGTAAGAACCTGTCTCAAAAAACAAAGCAAAAGCCAGGCATGGTGGGGCATGCCTATAATCCCAGCACTAGGGAGGCTGAGGCAGGAGAATCACTGAGCTACATAGTTGAAAACTAGCCTGAACTACATAATGAGACCCTATCTCAAAAAACAAAACAAAACCAAAAAAATTATTTAGTTTTTAATTATAAAATAATTGTGTATATTTATGGAGTACCATGTGATTTTTTTTTTTTTTTTTTGGTACTGGGAATTGAACTCATGACCTCAGGCTTGCCAGGCAAGTGCTTATGCCACTGAGCTACATCCCCAGCCCCCATGTGATGTTTTGATATATTTTTACAACATGGGATGGCCATTAACAAATTCATTACGTCACATCCAATACTCACCATTTTTTTTGGTAGAAATATTTGAATCAAGGCCATGTGTGGTGGCACACACCTGTAACCCCTGCACTTGCGAGGCTGAGGCAGGAGGATCAATGCAAGTTTGAGGCCAGCCTGAACTGCACAGTGAAACCATGTCTCAAAAAGACAAAAAAGAAAAAAAAATTAACTTTATTCTTTCAGCAGTTTTGAAATATACAATGCATATTCTTACAATATACAATACATATTCTTTTTTTTTTTTTTGGTCTTTTTGTTTGTTTGTTTGTTTTTTGTTTCTCTTCCAGTACCAGGAATCGAACTCATGACCTTGTGCTTGCCAGACAGGCGCTGTGTCACTGAGCTAAATCCCCAGCCCCTTTTTTTCCCTGTCTTTTTGAGACAGGCTCACACTATGCAGTTCAGGCTGGCCTTGAGCTCACTCTGTAGCCCAGGCTGGTCTCAAACTCACAGCAGTCCTCCTGCCTCAGCCTCCTGAGCGCTGAGATTACAAGCGTGGGCCAGTACACCCCACCAGGACCAGTTTTTAGAAACAGAATTGCTGCGTGTGTGTATCATAGAGACCACTGATTTTTGAAGGCTTCTGGGGCTTTAAGAGCCATTTGGAAAGAATGACAATAAATGGGTCTTTGATCCCAAGCTTGGGTGGGGAGGCTTTGCTATCATTTCAGCTCTTGGGTATTTCTAGGTATGTGCACTGCCAACTGCACCGGGGAGACACCAAGATCCGAAGTACGTCAACCCAGAAACAGTAAGCAGATTTCTGGAGATGGTGGCTGATTGCATAAGCCGCCATCTGCTCTGTTCTGATCCTGAAATCCCTGCTGCCTTTTGTGTCTTTCTCGGCACACACTCTTGCAGGCTCCTCCCTCAGGCTGTTTTAAAGGTCTTCGTTGTGTCTTTCCTTTTTTATTTTTAAACAAAAGACAAGAAACAAGGAAGGGAGGGAGGGAAGGAACAAGGCAAAAACACAAAAAGAAAAGTCACTGAACCAGAGACTCGATTGAGGTAACCCTAAGTCCCGGCTTATGCGCCCCAGTCCTCTTCACACCTGCTGGAGAGGGTAATTATTAATCATGTTCTCTCCCACCGTCAGAAGTCTCCCTGTTTGTACACTAATTGTGCGCTGGCCCTTCCCACAAACTTGCTACCGGAGATAACCATCAGTGATACTTTCCTTGTGGCACTGCAGATTTTATTCTAACATACAGTTTTGTAAAACTGGAATCATGATGGACATGTACTCTAGCAATTAAATTAGTAAAATATTGTAAGCCCCAGTAGCTGCCCCCCATAAACTTTCTATATGAGAAGAAGATATCTACATTATCTTTTTCTTCTGTTTTTTTGATAAAGGGCTTCCTTGCGTGGCCCTGGCTGCCCTTGAATTTACACCATTGAGTTCGTGCCCAGCTACATTATCATTTTAATGGTTATATAATGGTGTTGTGCTGACATGTGTGATTTATTTAATCAAACTCCTCTTATTAAATATTCAATAACCTAAAACAATGCTGAGGCAAATGTCAAATTGTACCCACATCATTGTGTACTTTTAAGTGTACTGTACTTTAGATGTTAGAAAAGAAATTGTTGAGTTAAAGTATAATTACTTTGGTGTTTTTATATGTATGGGATTGAACCCAGAGCCTTTACACTGAGCCAAATCCCCAACTCCCTTTAAAAATTTATTTTGAGATAGGATCTCACTAAGTTGCCCAAGCTGGACTTGAATTTGCAATCCTTGTGCTTCAGCCTCCCAGACTGCTGGGATTACATGGCTCTTCCACCGTTTCCAGCTATAATTACTATTTTTTTTTTTTTTTTTTGAAACAAGGTCAGACATGTAGCTCAGGCTGGCTTCAAACTTGAGGTGATATTCCTGCCTCAGCCTCCCTAGTGCTGGGATTACATGTGTGTGCTACCATGCCTGGCTCATACTTTGTCCTTTAAAAGAAAAAAAATTTTTTTTGAGACAGGGTCTCCCTAAGTCTTAAATTGCCCAGGCTAGGCTCAAACTTGTGATTCCCTGTCTCATGTTCCCAGAATGCTGAGATTACAGGCATGTACCATCACACCCGGCAGGACTTGTTTTTTAAGTGTATCTACCTTATGTCTGCCTGCCTGCCTATCTGTCTATCTGCCTATCAGTTGATCTAACCCTGGGATCAAACCCAGTTCTTTGCACTTACTTTTTTTTTTTTTTTTTTATAATGGCAGGTGCAGACCCATTTGCATTTCTTGTGAACTCGGGATCGCTCCCTCTGTCACTGGGTAAGTCTGTGGATATCTCCCGGAGGCTGGTTTCAGCTGTGCCTGGCTCCAGATGGGGAGCCCTCAGCGAGTCTTCCTGGGCCTTGCAGGACCAGCCTTTTGGTTCTCTACAGCTGCCCCTTCCGCTTCACCCGCTTATGTCGGGTGGGGCTGAGACACTGCCACGCTTCAACTGCAGTGGACTTTGGCCACTGTGCGTCCAGTGGCATCCTGTGTGGCTAACGGGAGTGTGCGCGGAAGTAACCCGAGTGGCTGTTCTCTCGTGCACGCTGACGGTGAGCAGGATACAGTCATGGTTTCTGTGCAGATGGCTGCCTTGCTGTCTGGAGAGCTCCAGCACCTGATTGAGAAGTCTTAATCATTGATCACCCCTGCCCCTCTGAGTACCTAGGAGGACGTATCCAGGTGAGGTTCGCCTGGGACATCAGCAGGCCAGGGGCTGGAGATGGGTCTTTGTTGAGAAGAATGGGGACAGAAGCTCCTGCGAAGCCTAGAACTGGGGCCAGAGGGCCTACAGTTGGAGGACGTCAAACCTGAAGGCCTATTTCCACGTAAACTTTGTACACCTTGAATTGCATACTTGCCCTTTCCCTCCTCGACCGAGCGCCCCTACCTGCAAATCCAGACACTCATCCAAGGACTGAGAGCAGTTGGAAGCGCGGCCGCGGACACTGCGCAGGCTGAGCCCTCCTTCCAGGTGGCTCGGCTCTGTGAATGCTTGCTGAGCATTTGCTGCACACCAAGCTGCGGGCGGGGCCCCGGGGTAGATTTGGAGATACTTGGGTTCCCTGCCTTGAAAACCCTTATCTAGTCTTTCTGGCCGAAATATCCTAGGTTGGCATCCCAGTCATTTCTAAGTACAGTCGTTCCGAGCTCCCAGCTTACGGGCGAGCTCTGTTCCGGGAGAGCGTCAGTAAGCCAAGTTTGTTCATAACCGACACGGTGAGTCCTACAGAGCACCCCTGTGAGGCCTTCATAGCACAAGTGTGAAATTTTGCAACTCAGATGTTCACTAAATCAGGGACTTACTGTGTTCACTTTATCACAGGCCTTTCAGGGAATGCTTATTAAAATTATTCTTCCACAGGGAGTGTTACCTTCTATAGTCAGAAAGAATTATATGACTTCTTTCTAAAGAGGCCCATTATTCCCTTGGACACCCAGAAAAGAATAATCATCCTGTGATTCTCAGGGAGGGGCCCCCAAACCTACCAAGTGTTCATGTGGGCTGGGGTGGATGTTGGAAATGGTAGAAATAGATCTTTTTGCTTGTTTTGGAGACAGGGCCTTACCATGTAGTTCAGGTTGGCCTTAAACTCACAGGATCCTTCCTGTCTCAGCCTCCTGTGAATTACAGGCATGTGCTACCATGCCTGGCGGAAATAGCTGTTGAGTCAGAGTTCAGACAGACATGGAATGCACTCCACTACAATTTGAAGAATGCTAGGGAGGATTAGGGAAGGTGTTTTTATAATTCAAAAGTTTAGAGCAATAAAGGAAAAAGAATTGGGAACAAGATCCAATAGAGGGAAGGAGAAAGAGGGGTGCTATTTGGGCCTTATTTTACACACACAGTGATACCTGAAGGTTCCACTCCCTGCAGTGCGGTGGGTTGGATGCTCGGCCTCTCGCATACTCGGCAAGCGTTCAACCTCTGACTGCTTTCCCACCCCAGGTCCTTTTGGGTGTTGCCAGTGCTCTGTCCTTCCCCCGGCTCCCAGGAAATGCCCTGGGCTCCAGACCGTGGCTCCTTCCACACACTCCTACCTGAGTTTTCTCTGAAGCTACCTTTCCCTGAGAGAGGATGGGACTCTGAACCAGCACTTTGCCTGGTACTACCCAGAGCGGCACATCCTTGAAGGGGGCTACAGAGACTTCTTTCTGGAATACATGGTACAAGGTGGGGCATGGGAGAGCCTAGACTCGAGGGTGCCTTAGCATAACTGTTACACTTTGCAGGCAGCGTTCCGGAATTAAAGGATCCCCTTCTCTGTCCCCTGCCTCTCAGGAGCTGTGTGAGCCTGGGAGCTACTGCCCTGTGCATCACTAGGACCACCAGGCTGAGCTGCTGAGGTGGGGAAGCAAGCAGGGGGGTGGCAGGGCGGGAGCACACTGCCCTCCTGCCGAAGGACTCCCGGCAGCCAGCACTTCACTAATAGACACCATAGAGACCCTAAGCAGAAAGGCCATCTTCTCTGTGGCCAAACCCAAGACTGTTAAAAGATGTCTGCAAGCCAGCTGGGTATGGCAGCTCATTCCTGTATCCCCAGCACTCAGGAGGCTGAGACAGGAAGATTACTGCGAGTTTGAGACCAACCTGGGCTATACATAGCAAGACCCTATCTCAAAAAAACAAAAACAAGAAAAAAACAGAAAGCTCTCTATAAACCAATAGGCTACTATGCTAATAAAAGCCCGGGCCTCGAGATTGGTTGGGTTGTAGTAGAGGTATCAGCTGCCTTTTAGGCAACGCATACCCCAGTACTAGAAAACTGTCACCTTGACTTTCATAGAGGTTTGTGTTTTTCTTCTTTCTTTTGTATGGGGAATTGCACTCAGGACTTCGCACTTGCCAGGCAGGCACACTGTTGCTGGCCTATATCCTGGGACTGATGTGTGTTTTTTTCATTTTTGGTACCAGGAATCAAACTCAGGAGCTTGTGCTTGCCAGGCAGGCACTTGTACCACTGAGCTATATCCCTGGCCCCCGATTTGTGTTCCTTTAGAGCTCTTACATTCCTCTTCTCAACTTCTCGTGTCTTCTCATAAGACAGACAGGTCTTTCTCTCTCTGGGCTTCTGGCTTCTTTCACTATATTTTCCTTTTTGTGGGAAAGTAAGCATTACAGAATAAGAAGTCCTGCGGTACAGCTCAGCGTAGAGTGTGAACATTCATGAGTCCCTGAGTTCCATCCCCAGCACCACTGACCCAGAAAAAAGAGACTCCTTTAGACATGAAGACGTAACCACCTTTATTCACAGCCGAATCCAAACTGCTTTTCTTTAAACCCATGGTTCTCAAACTTTGGACACTGAATTATTACCATCCTCTGAATTTGTTTGAAATGCATATTTTCATGGCCTACTCCAGACTTTGAGTCAGAACCTTTTTTTTTTTTTTCTTCATTTTTTGAGACAGGGTCTTGCTATGTAGTCCAGGCCTCAAACTTGTGGTGATCCTCCTGCCTCAGCTTCCAAGTGCTGGAATTACAGGTCTGCACCACTATGCCCAGCTGAGTCAAACCTTTATAGGGTCCAAAAATCTGGGTTTTAAAAATCGCCCCTTTCAGTCAATTTTGATGTATACTAATGTGTAAGAGCCATTGCTCTGGAGTAAGGAAACTTTTTAAACTATTCAGCAGTATCCTAGGTGCACTTTCCTAGACAGTTTCCGGGTGTGAGTGTCTAAAGGCATCCCCCTCAGTACCCTATGATGTCTGAACTCAGAAAACCGAGATGGTTAGCGTTCTCTTCGCAGAGCAGAGATCTGAGTTCGACTCGGCATTTCCTTGTTTGAGTGGGGCGTTGGCTTTTATCATTTCCCAAACTCTTCGTATTCTACTTCGCATCTCGTAAGGGCACGTTTAGGATTAGTGTGGATGGAAGCAGAGATTTGTGACATATGAAGACAGAAATGGAAAATACAGAGGAAGATCAGTTAGATTCAAGGAAGGCCTCCTAAACGGCGTTCTTCGGCAGCATAGCGGGCTTTCCTTTCCTAGGGCTCTTTCAGGCAAGCAGGGATCTTAGCTGTGTAGCGAGGCACAGCTCTACTTGGCCAGGGGTGGCACAGGGATCGGCTGGCCTGTCATCCTCTGACATTGACCTAGAAGTACTGAGAGTACAGGACTTGGAAAGGACAAAGCACTCTGAAACCCAGAATACGGTAAAGGCAGAAATAACATCTTCCCTGGTTCTAGAGCGGTAACTTCTTAACAGTGAGTGGGCAGGAGGAGGGCTGGAGCCTTGGGGCCCCTGGTCTGCTGGACTGGTTTTGCAAGGTGCTTGCGTGGTCTTGCCCTGGAGTGCTGTGTTTAGGCCTCACAGCAGAGGGCGCTGCTATACTCCAAGATCGCCAGCTGGCTCCTGCAACCTCACTCCAAAAGCTGCCTCCCTGGCCAGCTGCCTAATCCACAGAGCTAGGGGCTCAGAGGGCGGGAAGGAGCTGAGGCTACATTAAGCGAAGCAGGCTGAGGGGACGAGCTCCGCCCCACTAGCGCGTGCATCCCCTCTGTCCCCAAGCAGGAATCACTAGTAACCTATGGAAGAAACCGAAAGAAGTCCCAGACCCACAACCTTCTCGAGTGGGTCATATGGTCCCCAGAAAAGTGGAACCTAGACCTGACCCAGTAAGCGACAGTGTCCGATGCTCACCTTTCATTTATCTTAAGTGGAAACTGAGCTGTGAAACAAAAAACCGAGGCTTATTTACTTTATGAAAAGTTGTATTTGCCTAAAAGGCAAAATTTTCTCATGGCATTTCTTGTAATCTTTTTTTTTGAGGGGGCCCTGGGGATTGAACCCAAGGCTTCCCATTATACTAAGCTGACAATAGCGCTGAGCTACATCCCCAGCCCTCCCGTGTGACATTTTATGATATCCTCTCACCATATAAGGACTGTATGGATTGTTATATGTTATTTTCAGGAATAAAAATAGTAACTAACACTTCGAGTGTTTACTGCATATATGACCTTCTAAACTAATCATATATTAATCTTCACAAAATCCCATATGGCTGGTATTTATTATTATGTACACCTCTTATGAGGGTAATGAAATTGAGGAACAGAGTTTAAGTACTTTAAGACTACACACCTAGCCAGGCACTGTGGCCCACAAAGTACAGTGCCTGGAGCCAGGGTTAGTGGTGGAGCCTGTAATCCCAGTTTTTGGGAACCTGAGGCAGAAGGATTGTTTGACATCTGAGGCCAGCGTGCAGTATATATTGTTTAAAACTAGCCTTAACTACATAGCAAGACCCTGTCTTTAAAAACAACAAAAGCCAGTGTGCCTTTCTAGAGTTGGGAATGTATTTTCTTCCTTTTTTGTCTTTTTGGGACAATCTTGCTATGCAGTTCAGGTCAGCCTTGAGCTCACTTTGTAGCCTAGGATGGTCTTGAACTCTCAACAATCCTCCTGCCTCAGCCTCTCAAGTGCTGGGATTACAGGTATGCATTACCACGCCCAGTTTTAGAGTTGGTAATGTATTTTCAAGCCTCAATTGTAGATTTTTTAAATTTTTAATTTTGAGATAGTCTTGCTAAGTCACTGACTTGTCCAGGCTGGGCTTGAAATCGTGATCCTCCTGCCTCAACCGCTTAAGTAGCCAAAATTACATGCCCATCATACCTGGCTAATCGTACATGTTTGAGAAGTCAGGACCACAAAGCGGGCTTGGGCTTGGAAGATTGGATCAAAGGGAAATGCCAATGTGTGCCTCTGAGGAGGTTAGTTCTCACTGGCACCCTTGAATGTACTGGTAGTTATTGTGAGACCAAATAATGAATGGAAATCTTATGAGCATAGTGGCACATCTCTGTAATCTTGGCACTCAGGAGGCTGAGGCAAGAGGATCATAAGTTCAAGGACAGCCTCGAACAGTGAGACCCTGTTTCAAAAGAATGTAAATCTTCTGGTCTAAAAACTGACTAGAAGCCTTGTGTCGTGGTGTACACCTATAATCCTGGCACTTGGGAGGCTGAGGAAGGAGGATTGCTGTGAGTTCACATCAGCCTGGGCTATATAAGCAAGTTCAAGGCCAGCCTGTACTAGATAGCAAGACCCTGTCTCCAAAAAAAAAAAAAAAAGCAAAAACTGACTAGGGCCAGGCATGGTGGTGCATACCTGTGATCCCAGCACTTGGGAAGCTAAAGCAGGAGGATCACTGGGAGTTCAAGGCCATCCTGGACTACACAGCAAGACCCTGCCTCAAAAAACCAAAACCAGAGGGCTGGAGATAGAGCTCAGCGGTACAGCACCTGCCTGGCAAATGCAAGGTCCTGAGTCTGATTCACAGTACAAAAAAAAAAAAACAAAAAAAACCTACCAAACATGTCAGTCTGAGCACAGTACCTGAGTACCTGCCTGACCTTATCAGGAATATGTAGCAGGAGCCAGGGATCTTCTCTCCCTGTTCTATTTAGATAAATGTTAAAGAAATTATGTATATATATATTCATATTCATTCTGGGGTTTTCAGTTCTGAGTCCCTACAGGTATTCAGATGTGTCACAATTGCTGCCCTTACAACACTGAGAAACCTGGCAAGCACAAGGTCCTGAGTTTGATTCCTGGTACCAAAAAAAAAATCACTGTACTGTTGGGACCAGAGGTATATCTCAGTAGCATGGCACCTGCCTGGCAAGCTCAAGGTCCTGAATTCGATTTCTGGTTAAAAAAACAAAACAAAACACTGACAAGCTAGAAAGAGGTTCTCTCAAGGCCAGCCTGAATTGCATAGTGAAACCCTGTCTCAAAAAAAAAAAAAAAAAAAAAAAAAAGAGAAAGAGAGAGAGGTTCTCTCTGTTCTCATCCTTACAAGCACCCTGACCCACTAATATTCAGCAAAGGGAAGAAATACTGCAGCTTCCACCTCCAAATCAGGAGGCCAAGTAGTGAGGCCTGGCCAAGCTCATAGAATAATTAACCCCTATATTCCACCTGAGATGACATCACTTGTCCAGCATTTGCTATGTTGCAGGCACTATGGTAAATGCTGTACCCAATATGTACTTATTAATGCTCATAACTACTACATGAAACAGACACTGTTATCCCTAATCTTGCAGATGAAGAAATGGAAGACCAGAGCGATAAGTGACTTAGAGTCCCCCAGGAAGTGTTGAAGATGGTATTGAACCTGGACAACCTGGAAAGCTTGTGGTCCTCACTGTTCAATATTTTGCTGCAATCCCAGTTTAGGATAGCAGCAGGAACTAAAACTCAATAGCGAGAAAACACTTGAGAGGAGGCATAGCCCATACAGCCTGACCATGAGTAGAAGATAAACATTGCAAATGAAAGTACAGTAATATACAGGGACTTTGGACCCATGAGCCCCATCAGTAGATCATGAGAGCTCCCCAGGGCAGGACTTGTGTCTCAGTCATTTTGCCTCTGGCACAAAGCTGGACGCTGGGCTGCATGATGCTGAGTGACATCTTAGCAAGGACAGGCTCGTTTTCTCGTTACCCAGCAGGCGCTGGCTGTCCCCAAGGCGTGGCTAGGCAGGAGAGGGCCTCTAGAGAGCTGTCAGTGTTCGTGTTGGAGTCATGTTTATTTGCAGAGGCTTCCTCCACCCTCCCCTAGTCTTGGTTACCAATCCTCATTAAAAGCCCAATGATGTCAGCCTGTCCAGCCTAGGGGACAGAAAGGATGCCCCGTGCACCTGGACACACAAGAAGGCCAGTCTCCTGCAGGCAGAACAGGGCCTTGCTCCCAGCCGCTTGCCTGGCCCTGGTGCCTGCATCCTCTGTCCGTGGTACACGCACGGGTTTGGATGGACACTGAGTAGGCCACTTCCATCAAGAGCTTGACCTGGCTTGGCCGATGGAGGAGGGGGATACACTATGGCCACACCACACCTTTGTGGGTTCATGGGTCTTTGCCCTTCCCCCGTATCTCAACCACCTGCTTTGTAAATTCATTCTGCCAGAGTGGAGCGGAAAGTTGAGGCCATCAGCTCCCCCGCTACAGGTTTCCCAGCCACGCTGAAGGAGAGGGCTTAAGAAAGGTACATCAAGCCGGGCGGGAGCTGGGGGAAAACAGACCCCGGACAATAGCTGGGGAGCCAGATGTTCACTTTCACAGCTCTCCTGTAAAACCGGCAGGGCAGATATAGATTAAAATGAAGCACAAACTCCATTTAAAGTGCATTACAGCTCAGGAACCGGCTCCCCCTGGGCAGGAGAGGGGAGGGAAGGGCACGGAGGCCACATCAGTCTCTGTCCTTATCTAGGGCCACATGTCTTTCTCCTAGCTTTGTGAAGGGTGATTTACACCCCAGCAGGAATGACTCTCTTTCTGGGCTGATTGCATCTGCAAATGCCCCCCAGAGGCCACGGCAGGATGGCCATGTTCAGAAGCAGCAGCCAATAAATCTGAGAGGTTTATATTGCGCTTCACAATACCCTCCCTGGCCCTCCGCCAGGCCGCTGGGGAAGCAAGGAGCGGGCCCACCTCGGAGGGGCAGGGGATGGAGCCCCCATTCCTTTCTTCACCCTGGTTTCTCTCTCTAGGCGCTGCTTACTTCTCATTCTTCAAAGGCGTTCCGCACGCTGGTGGGAATCAGGCTCAGGGAGCACAGTACCCTTTCCTTATGGGTGGGCACCCTGGGGCCGGGGCACAGCCTGTGTCTGCCTGGTTTGATCTTGGCGGAGCAGCTCGCTCTCTGGAACTCTGATCACCTGAAAATGATGGGCTTCCTAAGTGGTCTCCAAACGCCGGCTGCAGTTTGTGTGGTGTGTGTGTGTGTGTGTGTGTGTGTGTGTGTGTGTGTGTAAGAGACAGAGAGAGAGAGAGAGACAGAGACAGAGAGAGAGAGAGAGAGGGCAAATTTTGGTGCAGTCAAGTGGTGATGTTCCTGGGGTCTCACCCCAGTTATGCTTCTTCCATCAAAGTACTTTCACCAGCTGTGCAGAACCTTGATTTTAACAACCACCATGGACTCTTACCCTTGAAGATACTTACACAGTTAGGGACAAATGAGATCATAGGTGTGCAAATTCTAAAAGGAAAAAATACTCAGAATTGAAGCATGCTGATGACAGCTCAAATTTTGTGACACGGTTTCCTTTGTGCAGGTTGCTCTTCCTGGGGGAGGCGGTCCGGCAGGTGAGGAAGGGTGCTGTTTGCTCATTTTCTGAGAACTGTTAGGCAGAGGGCCGAGAGCAGTGGGCTGCGGGCGGCCGGCGGGCATCCTGGGCGCCGCCCCCTCCTATCCCTAGCAGGCGGCGGCGAGGTGCGGCCGCGCGCTCGGAGTTGGAGGGCGGCGCCCGGGACCCTGGTGGGAGGTGCGGTGGGAGGCGCCGGCCCG